GCTATACCATCCAAAGAAACTTTCTCCTCCTCATCCTTCTCTTTTTAATTTTTTGCAGGTTTATTGTATACATATATATAATATATATTACGATTTACTCATTTTGTATACCAATTATAGCCCCCTTCCTCATCTCCTCCTGGTCCCACCCTCCTTCCCTCTTTCCCCCTATCTCCTTCCCACAGGAAGGGGGAGTTCTCCTCTACTGCCATCTGACCCTAGCTTGTCAAGTCTCATCAGGACTGCCTGGATCCTCTTCCTCTGTGGCCTGGCATCTTGAAAGGAAAGCCATTCAAAAACTGATCCTGCTTTCTCATCCTCTAAGCCTTTTATCTCTTTCTCTCTCCTCCCTCTACCCTCCCTCTTTTGCCTTTTTCTTTTTAAATATCTTGTCTAGGGGTCCATTTTGGAGTACAGTGACCAGATTTACAGGGGTGCTGAATTATGATTGAAACAACTTTATGCTGTGGACCTAAAGAATCTCTAATCAAATTCTACTATGCCAACTCTTCAACATGAAACTCATATTCTCATGTGGTCTTTGATAATCTGTCTTTGAACTTTTACCTACATATTCCCATATCTTTAAATTTACAGGACCTTATTCAGGGAACCAAAGACAAAGTTTTATAATGAAAGGAAAAAAATTGCTCTAAGTGCCTTAGCAATGCATTACAAAAACAGAGAATGTAGAACCAAAGGAAACATTCCTAAAGCTGTAACCCTTTAATATAGTTCCCCATGTTGTGGTGACCCCTAACATTAAATTAATTTTGTTTGCACTTTATAATTGTAAGAGTTCTACTGCTATGAATCATAATTTTACCATCTGTATTTCTTGGTGGTCTTAGACAACCCATGTGGAAGGGTTATGACCCACAGATTGAGAAACACTTGTCCAAAGGAGAATCATGCTCTTAAAATTTTGCTATTGTTTATTTTACACTGGTACTTCAGCCTCTTCCTTTAGGTTTTCTTCTCCTATTTATCTATATATTGTGGATATACTTACTGTTTCTCCTGTACTCTGGTGTCCCTGTTTTGGTGCCATTTTGAGCTGGAGCAACAGGTTATTATCTTTAAAGAGAAGAACAGGAGACCAGAAGATAAGGAGATAGGAGATAGAAAATATAAAGTTTGGGGCTGGGAAGTCTGTCTCAAGCTACATCTTATGCCAAACAAACTTATTAAGAAGTACAGCATCTTATATACTGTTTCCAGGGGGGAATGAGACAGAGTTAGCAGAAGTTCTCATACAATGGGACTCATGAAGTCAGCAGTATAATCAAGTGATATTATGCAAAGGGAACTCCAGGTTATCTCCAAAGCATTACTGCTGATCACACAGTAGCCTTGGGACTGATAGATAACTCTAGTCTCTTCAAGAAGAAAAGCCAAGTTCCAAGGCCTGAAATCTTAACAGCTTGGATGCTCCAGCTTCAGCTCCAGGCTGACCTTGCCAAGTCCGCTCCTGAGGAAGGACATAGAACTAGGTTCCTTTTGTCTTTTTCATCAGAGCCTCTAAGAAAGCCTCAGATTGGCCCAGCTCTCAACAATATGGCAGTTAAGAGTACTGGTCTATTTATGTGATTTCAGGGCTGACCCCACTGTAGTAGCCTCATTTGGTGTGTTCTTTACTGCAGAAGATTGTTTCTACTATTTTCAGCATTCTTAGTTGCCTGTAATGGACTAGGGCTTGAGGTCCCATGAGACCTCCCTAATATTATACAGATTGAGCAAATTATATTTATATAATTTAGGAATATATACGTACACAAATATGTATGTGTAATATATTTATAATAACCATTAAAGTAATAGCATAAACTTAGGAAAGAGCAAGGGGGAGGTACATGAAATGGGTTGGCTAGAGGAAAGGGATGGAAGAAATAATATAATTACATTGTAACTTTAAATTTTAAAAATTAAACTATAAGAAGAATGCTCTTTACCCTTGCAACAGACCTGGTTTCTGTTCCTAGTACTCCTGTACTAGTCCTCCTATAGTTACAGCCACCTGTAACTACACTTTAGCCTCCAAGAGCACTGATCTCACGTGGTGCATATACATACATTTAAGCAAACCCTAATGCCCATATAAAATAAGAATAGATAAATCTTTAAAAAATAAAATTGGGGCTAGAGAACTGAATCCAAGGTTAAGAGTATCGATTGCTCTCCCATAAGAGTCTAGGCTCATTTTCCAGATTCCACATGGTGGTTTAACTACAGTCTATAATTCCAGTTCCTTGGAGATCCACACTTTTTTAAAATGATATCCGCACTATCCACAATACACAAATATACATGCAGAAAAAGCATCCAAACACACAAAATGAAATTCTTTTAAAAAGTTAAAGCAAAAATAAAACCTAGTACACCACACATTTAGGGGGAAGTGGAATAAGTAATGAAATGTCTTATAAATATGAGAACATGAATTATGCCAGTCTAAAATTACCTTCCTTTTGTTCAAGAAATCATGTTTTTCAGGTAATCCAGTTTGTCACTGGTTATACCACTTGGGTCTTAACTAACAGGAAGACCAGCCACAGTGCCATTGACTCAGTGCTAAGTCCCATTACTCTGTGAGATGGTCAGGAAGGTTTATTTGTTCAAAAGTGACCGCTGGTGTTGTCAGACCTGGTCAAAAACCAGAATATGAGGTTTTCAGGGAATGCATGTGCCTAGAAAGGGACCGTAGCTGAGAAGCCTATATAAAGGCGTCACCTCCTTCATAGGATAGCAGCCTGTGACTGTGGCCAAAACAGAAGAAGCTAATAAAGATGGAACTGCTTCCTTTCCATTGACTGTAATTGAAATGTGGATTATGTGTTATAGAATTGCCTTTAACCAAAAATTTTTCTATTGCGCAGGACATACATGATCTGAGAAATTAAATCTTTTTTTCCATGCTTTATAATGGAAAAAAAAAAGGTTGGTAGGAGTAGATTTGGCCCTATAAATGAGATTAGCTGAAGACAAAATGATTTATGAGCTGAGCCAACTGATGGGCTCTGAGTGAGGTTTTGTTAAACTAACAATATGGCTGGCAAAGATGGCATGTCAGGTCTTTCACTCTTTTCAAAGACCAAACCATGTCAAGATATCACTTCATAACTTTAAATGCATTACAAAGCTATAATACCAGAAGGTATGTTTAATGTGTCAGACCCATCCACTTGTCTCCTCAGTCCTGTGTTTCATGTCACTGTGCTTGCATTTCCAACAGATTTATTTTTCAGACCATTTTATATGAACTGTTCCATCATTTAATCTTATTCATGTAGTCTTGTTTACAGGTACCATTAGCACCACCCAATTACTCTTTCTACATGTACCTTTAGCCTCTGTAAGTCTCACCATAGTGTTTCTACAGCAAAAAAAAAAGGACTATCCTCTTTAAAAATGTTTGTCTGTGTAGAACAGAAAAATACACACACACACAAATACACTCAAGACTTCTTAGCAAAAATACTTCTAATGCAGATGTATTGCATGAGATAATATCTTTGTTTTAGAGTTTAAGGTTATATTTGATGCTCTGCAATGCTATTCTATTTTCTTCTCTCCTCTAATTCCTCCCTGTTTAACAGCAGACAAACCCAGGGAGCCTTGAATGAATCCGATGACCCTGAGACAGGCTGTCTAACTGATAACAAGCCGACTTCTCGACACTTCTATCCTGTCGCCTTGCTTCTTGTCAGCTCACACCTGCTAGTCGTGTGGCTTATTTTAAGTCTTGCGTTACTCTTAGCCAAATACCAATAAGTTTTATGTTGTGTTCCTCTTTTTCTACAAAGAACAATGGACTTTAATTCTGGGAACAATGTTGTAATATTTCTACATTTTCAGATTCACAGAATTAAAAAAAAAAAGAAGAAGAAATGTTTGCATTGTGGTTTTGTTTGTTTTTTCCTAAAAGGCAAAAAGTACTATGCATTAAGTGAATTATTTTGCTCTTTTGTCCACAGAAAAGTGTTTTCTCATTGTTAAGTAGCTAATGATGAGTTTGTTTGTTTTCTAATTACTGTCTTTGGAATAAGACAAAAAAAAAATAGAATCCTGAAAGCTTGAAGTTCTGAACTACCACTTCCCATGTCATTTATTAAATTAGGTCTGACATTGTGCAACAGTAAAACCCCCAAGATAATCTGGGAAGTGGAGGTTACAGACTTACTTTCCACTGTGCTAACACATAGTTGCCATCAGCTGATAGAAATGTGTCTGCTTTCTTACTCTGTTTCTTCTCATCCCTTATTCATTGATGTGTTTAACCTACTGTCAAGTAACTTTATGGAAAGAATGGCTCTTTATGTTTTGTAATTAAATTAACTTGTTTGTAACTATTGTTTGGGTTGATTTGGCTTTCAGACTACTTTTCTATTCTTTTTAACAAGGTCTCATTTGTGTCTTGATGCGCCATTTTTAGCACCTGTGACTTTTGTACTGTGGTTGAGGAGCACTCTCCTTTGATGAAGCTGAGTCTAGGAGCAGGCTGTTCAGAAAGCCATCTTCTCTCTTCACTGCATACCTAAAACAATGAAGTAAAATAGGGATGGAAAATCCTTTTAAAAAATCTATAGGGCCAGACTTAATGAATTAAATGCCTTATTCCTAGAACTGCATCCTTAGGGCTACATGTAGATTTTAATGTGTTTTAAGGGACTGATAGTTAATTTGTGGAAAAGTTATAAAAAGACAGATATATTTATGAAACTAAAGTAAAGCTGTATTGTGAAGCAAACTATATTTAAAGAGTTTATTAAAAGTTAAATGTCTGTTAAGAAACTTAATCATATCTTTCCGAAGGCAATAATGGTATTGGGCCTGGCCTAGGATTTAATTTTGTAAGATGTATCATCACTTGTGGGAAGACAATGTAGAGTTGAATCTTTGTTATTTTTACTTGGACTGTTGGTGCAACTCTGCATTGAACAAATAAAGCATATTTATTTATTCTGTGTTTCATGAAGTTGTACTTTTTCCCCTCTCACCAGAGAAGGATGCCGCATAGAGAATGTACTGAAGAATGTCAAATGCAGAAGGTATGCTTTCAACATGCTACAGCTGATGGCTTTCCCCAAGTGCTACCGGCCTCCAGAAGGCACTTACGGAAAAGCTGACACCTAAGTTTACCAACATGGAAACAGACAGGAACACAAATACATTGTGATTGGAAGAACTCCACCTCTGTTGTTTTTGTTTTGTAACGTTATGGGTGTGTGGGGTGAGTTGCTCCTGGGTGTTGTTCACATCAAGGCCAATGCATCACTCAGAAAGTGACCCAGATTTGACGTCCTACCAGCACTGCCATGGCCAGTCTATCTGTTCCTCTTTGTGTTAACCCTCACTGGTTGAGGTTAGTTGAGAAAGTGTAATTTCATCTGTAGAGTATTCAAATAAAATGTGTCCTGAGGAACTAGGTATTCCCATGGTACCAGAGGTGACTCAGAGAATGTCACACTCCATCTGAACTAAAGGGGAGCAAATATGATTTGTACGATGCTACTTTGGGGTCTTGACTGCAATCTCAACAGCCCAGCTTATTGGGCTTTATAAAATATATGCATAATAAATCCAATTAGGTAATGGTAACCCATTCCTTTGGTCACTTAAATGGCTTGCAGGTATGTTTGCACACATCTTTGTCATCATCTTCAAATGTGGTTCCACCTCCTAAGCTGGCAGATGAAAATGATTACAGCTATGAACTACAGCACAAAACCAGGAATCTTTGAAGAAGCTGAATGTGGGTTGGGCAACCCACCTAGACAGAGTAACATAGAATCTTTAATAAGTAGTGGGAAACACTAACAAGGCACTGAAGTTGCATGGGACAGAGCCTGCTGATGCCCCAAGTGAAAATCCAGCAGCGTGAAATTCACTTGGAAAATTTTATGGAAGTGAAAGACTTATCTATTAGATATTCCCCGGTCATCCTCTTCGTGTGTGTTTGCAGTCTGTCATAGGTCAATCTATGTGAAGCGGGGAACCATAGCATATGTGCAGCCATAAACAAAGATAGGTTGACACAGTAACTTTCAGTCAATCTGGATTTCAAAGGTGTACTGACAGTAAAATAACACCATGTATAAAATTACTAATATTGCAAGTCAGCAGTATCCTTAGAGACCACACTGCATCAGACCATCATGTGGGTAAATCAAGGCATGTCACTCAGATGACTGCAAAAGAGCAATTGCAGCCACCGTTGCCATCTCATTGTTTAGACTTTTTAACCTACAGCTTCTTTTTCCTCCAGATTGCTACTCTAGTTATGTATAAAAGTTGCCAGAGGAGAGTCAGATAGAAAGTAGGATTTATCACTGGAATTGACACTCAGAATAAAGGAATATGAAAAAAAATATGCATTCTTCCCTTTCTCACCAGTGGAAGTTGCTGTCCAAATATATATCTCTCTGATGATGATAGATGCTTCCTACACAGATGCCTCTGTTGTGACTTCATCTGTAGTGTCATGGGTAACATGGTTGCTCTTTGCCTAGAATACTACCAATAAAGGTTTTTCAGCTAGAGCGCTAATCACATTTTGAGTTTTTCAAGAGACTGAAAACAGAAGAGAGCACCCGAGGCTTCTGACAGTGCAATCACCATCCATTATTTTACCTAATGACATTTGGCCATTACCAAAATATTTGTAAGCCTTAAAATGGAAAAATTGCATTTATATGTGGAAATAATTATCTTAACAGTTCTCAGGCCTATTCTCCATTTCAGTGATTATATAAAATCTTTTAATTGTTTGATTTTTTTCAAGATTTTAGAATTCATGGTTACTTTCATTATTATATTGAGTTTAATATAAAAAGAGTTGTGATGACAAAGGTTGTGTCTAGCTCTGAGCTTTTCTTAAATATCTCAAGTAGTAATGTCAGCCCAGGACACCTTATATGATTTTTTTAACTCATAGATATTTTATAAACAACAATTCTTATTTATATATTTTTATAAACTAGCCATCTTAACTCAGATATGGTAAATATTTATTAACTGCAAAGCCAGTAGTAGGTTTTTCCAGTTTTGTATGACATTTTATAGGATATTTTTTCTGTCAATAAATGATAATATAGAAATATCAAAGGTAGTAATGCAGAGAAATTAATGTTTATTCATTTATCTTTACTGTTTCCTATGGGAATCTCACATGTGTGTGTCCTTTCAACCGAGGATTTTAAAAGGTGAATTCATATTTCCTGAATTTCACTACTAAGACTTTCAGAAGCAAACATTAAGTGAAGTGTTTTAAAGTCTGAGTGTACAAACATAGCAGTGCTCATGCAGTTCTATCAGCTGCCATCGTATTGCTCTATCCATGCTTCCATTTAAAAGCTATACCAGCAGGGAGATCACATGGAGTCAAACAATCTATCAAGAAAATAACATTTCCAAACTATGCAGGTTATTTTTTTCTTTCTCAAAAATGTGTGTTCCTTTCACTCTCATCAAATGTAGGTGTCAATTTTGGCTTAACTATTTACAGAGCCATAGAAGAAACATATTAAAAGCACAACAAGGCACAGCCATGATTGTTATCCAAAGGTCTAGCATATGCATGTGTCCTCAGGACAACTACATGTATACTTGAAACATCAGAGCTACATTGGTGTGCACTAGGTCACTGAATCCCCACCTCTGCTTTTCTTCCTAAATATTGCCTTGAGCTTTTCCCAACACAGTTCTTAAAATGTCTTCTAGACGCTACTCTGGTAATCCAGCCAGAACACGATAACTATATAATGTAGCTGGTCAATTATATAAAAGCATCCCCTCCCCAGTCAGGGCAGTATTCCATAGGGCCATTAGCCACTCATAACACTATTGCTTCTTACAATCAGTGAGGCCTTGAAATCAGGCATTGGCTGGGTGATATAAGTGCCCCCCTTTCACATAGTAAGTGGTTTTTATAAAATAGGACTCAGAATGGTAAAGGGGCAAAAGTTGAGGTTTTTCCCAATCAAACCCCTCCCACTGTAAAGATACTATGCCCAAACTGGCCCTTGTTGACTCATGAGAGGCAGTCATTGAGTTTTCAGGAATTGTGCAAGCTAGTTGCAACACACTGCTGTGATTAACCATAAGTTATGAAATGAATTTGTTAAAAGTAAAGATGAAAATCAAAGCTCATAACTTTCTGGATTTTTAAACCAGATTTTGCTCTTCACACCTCTTGAGTGTAGCTGGCTCTGGTGTTTCTGCAGTGTGCAAATGCTTTATTGATATATGCAACCCTGAACCACCTGATCCACATTTAAGGATTCAATGTTGATATCTTGAAATCAGTCACTATGAAATATTTATATTTCAGAAACTGGAAAATGTTATAAAGTAGGCTATCTATTTTCTTAAACACCAGTTGTTGAGCATTTACCAACCAGTGCACAGCTCAATGCCACACTCGCTTTATTTTTCACCAAGAAAATAACAAATTATTGGAAGGATGATACTATTATCAGGATGGTTTTAATATATATATATAATTATAAATATATAGTTTTATTTTGGATTTATTGTCTTTAAGGAATACTGCTAGTCTATACAGTATGTTGGACACTTCTATTTTATTCATAATTTAGCTACTAAATTAGAGGTGTGAGTTTAGGAAAAAAAAACTATCAATAATGTGCTGTGAGTGGTCCATAGAATCATAGCCTTATTGTAAATAACTTTTCAGTACTAAATTCAGGAAAATGTTAATTTAATCCTAATATCAGTAAAATATGCTTCTAAACATATATATTTCTAAACTTACATATATTTCTAAACTTATGATGATGTCATTGCTGAAAGGAAAAGCAGAATCCTGTCACTATACCCAATGTTTACTAAATTGAACACAGCTGAAACCCAAACATTTTATTGACCAAATTAAACTCTAGTAATATAGTAAGACAACACAGATATAGATATGTGATGCCAAGAGGTGTGGCACATCATTTTAGTCCAATGTGTGGGACATATTTTATAGTCCCTTAAATAATAGCACATTTAACACACATTTGAGGAACTTGTCTGGGAAAACTCTGCAACTGCAGAGGAAGCAGGTCTATTTGGCAGCTAGACACTCTATCGAATGTGCAATGCTCACCACTGAAAAGAATCCTTAATTTGCTAAGAACTTGCATGATTGGTTGTTAGTTCTAACATAAATTCATATTCATCTAGCTTACCTCCACTCTGTGTAAGTGATAACTCCACATTTATTATATTAGCTTTTAAAGCCCTTGTATAGTTTATCTTTTCTTTCTCTTGACAGCTTGAAATTAGAAGTTTCTACACAATGATGGTAACTATAGCAGACACTGTCTTTAAAAATAGACGGTTCAAAACCAGCGGTTTTTTTTTTTTTATATAAAATGCTGTATACCCTTAACTATGGAGTTGGAGAATGGAAAATTTGCACTCTAAACAATGGGGCTTGTTATTCTCTCTTTGAACATTATTCTAAGACTATAAAATACAACCATGCTTCTAATTTAAGAGGACCAGATAATACCTAGATACCAGATAATAACTAGATAAAGAGATGCATACAAGGTAATATTAATCCCCAAAATGATGAATGCAATTGTTTTTCCTGAACTTGGATTGATGCTCAGGCTTGCATATTTAAAGAAATAAAAGTTCAGAGTTTAGTTCCAGAGAACATGGACATGAGTGTAAATACAACTTGTATAAATGATTCTGTCCATAAGCCATGTGCTGTAGATACATATTAGTACACACTATCTTGCAGTAAAAACAGTATTTAAGGAAGGAAGTATGTAACATTCTGTGCTGGAAGAATGAATTTTCATAGAATTTCTAAAGACCTTGTAAATTATTCCTATGTGATGAAAGGGCACAATGTAACAGTATGTCTTTTGTGATCCCCTACTGTAGCATTGTTTATCAACAGGTTCTAGAGACTCAAATTTGGCCAATATTTCTAGGAGATCTATATAATTCTTGGGGTAATTTATGTCGCTATCAACATCAGAAACTATCTCATGTTGAAGATCCTTCATATTTCAAAGGATAAATATTTACTTTATCTGAACATGCCCCACCCCTTGTGAACACATTTTCTTGTTTGAACATTTTATTTTTTTAATTTAATGCATTTTCAGATTCTTGTGGTATTCATTTGAAAGGTTGACATTTGCTTTCTTTTTATATTAAAATATATTCTAGATAAACCAATAATGTGTATCTCCATAATGTAGAAATAATCCACAAATAGATAATTTATATTAGCATTTGAAGAAGTATCACATTCATTTTATTTCCTGTAAATCATAGTCATCGTGCACTGTATGTATATTTTTGTTGAAATAAATATGCTTTTATTTTTATGTTTCTGTCTTTTTCTCCCCATTATACATTGTTTGTCATCGTAATCCATGAAATGTTAATGAAAATATGAAAAGTATGGAGGACAAATAACATTTCAAGGAGAATAGCCCTCGATTATGCTAGACCACAATAACAATACATGTTTAACACTGATGGCCAGTTAGTTTCATTTCATTGACATAGTGGGCTTCCATGGTTACACTTCTTGGGGGAAGCATCAAGCACAACCCCCAAACAGAGGCGAAATAGCTTTGATGGTTTTACATTAAGAA